CGGGGCAGGAGCAGGGAGGACATGGTGCAGGAAGCTCTTGGTGTGCTTATCCCCTGGAAGGCTGCACTTTCTTCCCTTTATAAGCCATGCAAAATGCTTGCTTTTACTTGAAAAAATAGATTTTACGTATTCTTTATGCAAGAATAATTTAGAGGAACATCACAAATCTTACAAAACCATTAGGCTCTCTTTTAGCATAGACTTCTACTTCATGCATTCTAAAGCACATATGTCCACATCAGTATATCTAAAAATTAGTAAGATCTTTTTTTCTGGGCAGTCTTTGCTGTACAGATAGAGAATGCCGCGTTTCCACTCAATGAACTTACTCTTCCTATTCAATACTGGCTGTCGACTGCAGCAAGGAAACAAGAGACCATTCCTGATTCATGTTAGCAGCAAAACAAAAGCTTACAAGCAACTTACAGGGCTTTGAGTTCCTTAGTCTGTCACAGTGGGTTATGAAATTTAAGCCTAACCATTCAAAAAGCAGGACTCCATTCACATCAGTAAGGCGTTTAACAGAAAATAAATTGTGCGAAAAGAAGGTCTTGGCTGTCCTTTTTTGCTGTTACTGCTGTCCAAGGCTGAGAAGCCGTGGGGCTGCCTGGCAGCCTGCAGGTGAGCACCCAAGGACAAGGGGCACTTCTGGAGCCCAGCACACGTCAGGGAGCACCTCTTCCTTTCTGCGCTGCAAAGGCCACCTCAGGAACACTTTCTGCTGGCATCCGCAGGTTCGATGACTAAATTGATACTCACCTGAAGAAACATCAGATGAAAATCCATGAACATCCCTCAGACCCTTCAGGCTCAACTCTCTTCTGCATGGAGCTAACAGCTTAGCTATCACAGACCCCGTGATCAGGATTAGCGTTTCTGAACTCTTCAGAAAGTTAGCAGCTTCCGCTGTGCTCAGTTCCTAATTTTTCTGTTTCTGGCTTTACAGCTTTTCAGTATTTCAACAACAACAACGAAAAGAAGAACCACGAGCTGTGATACTCATCCATTGATAGACAACACACCTCCCCTTTACAGTATAGGTATAATGAGACTCCTTCAAAGCAATCCAAAGCCACTCTACTTTTTACTATTTTTTTCCTTTATAGAATACTAAAAGGCAAGGTGGATCCCTCCATAAAGAGGGTATTTAAACAGTAACCAAACACCATTAGCTTTTCTCAGGCTTCTTAATTTATAACTGTAACTATTTATATATGACAGCACAGCCATACTGAAGACCAGTGCCATACTGAAGATGACCAAAATCAGTTTTTAAGCATCCGGGTTTCGCCTTCCCAATACAGAAGGGCAACACATTTTTAATCCAAGAAGCTGTTAGGTTCCCAAGTCCCTGGAGTTTAGCAGAGCCTATGCTCTTAGCTGCTTTATATGCTATTCTAATACAACCTCTGAATTCAGTCACACTGTTAAGGCCATGAAGTCCCAAGCCCAATAGCAATGATGAACATTTGAATTCCACACGCAACACAAACACACTTTGGTACAAACCTTTATTGTCTCACACCTCTTAGCTACAGCCATCATTGTAACAACCGAAATCGGTATTTTACAGGTACCACGAAAAGTCACAAAGATATCAAAGGCTGAAAAATAAGCTTCGCGGTCCAAGAAATCTGAGTTCCCAAGGGCTGCTGCTACGTGTAGGGTTTCTGCAGACACGCTCTGGTGAGGAGACGCCGGCCCGCAGGGCGCGGGGAGCTGCGGTGCTCGGCAGGGCCGTGCGGCCCGCGGAGGGGAAGGGCACCGGGCCTTCTGCTCGACGCCCTGCTGGCCTGGGGCCACCTCCGCAAAGTGGCCAAATCCCCACGCGGTGTGAGCACGTGGCAACTACTAATGCTGTTTGGGAGGGTAGAGGAATGCGTTTCACCCCCAGGGTCCCTCCTCGGGAAGGAGAGGTAAGGCAGCTTCCCAAGTCATAGGCCTTATCCGTGTTTGTGGCCGGCGGGAGGCACGCCACAAAGCAGGGCCCACAGGTGTGGGCATCGCGCCAGGAATGTGAGCAAGACCTGCTGCTTCTCCGCATGGGTTTGGGGAGGCAGGGGCTCGCCAGCCCTGCTGCTGACCACCCCGGCGTTTGGCAGCCCAAGCGGCCGCGGGAGCTGGCGCGTTA